GCATACTTGATTGTGACCCTCCGGGCTTGTCTGTCTCACCTTCTGGTTTAATTTGCCAAGTCCTTGGCGCACAATGTACCTGTGCATCTCTGTGCCTCAGGGCTCCAGGCTGGAATCCTCATTTCCTATTTCAAGCAACACATACAGCACTCTTCATAACTAACCTCCCTTCGGTTCATTTGAGGTTCATTTGAATTCCCCATCTGATGGGACAGGCTGATGGGGGTTGGAGAATGAAGGAGCCAGCTCAGCCAGAGGCGGTCCCAGAGCCTGGTCTCCCCCAGTAGGCCCTGCCCCAACCCTGGCATTCTGCCGAAACCCATTTCTCCTGGGATACCCTAGTTCCCTCTTAGCAGGCTGACCTTTATGCAGATCCAAGTGCTTGAAGATAGATCATTTATTCTAGGGAAGGGTTCCTAATTCTGGAAATAGGACTCCTGAGAGGTTCTAGAGGGAAGTCTCCCAGCCCCTATTAGGGTGGTAGGGTAAATGGGTAAGGCGTGATTAGAATATGGTCTGTCTCCCTTGGTCATTCAGTGTAAGGAGGGCCTGACCCTGGGATTCACCTCCAGGCTGAGGGGAATTTAATTGAATTTTGTGACATTTGGAGCAAATTCTTGGCACACTGTTTCCTTCTCAGACTTGTTCTATACCTCTACTGTCTCCACATTTTCCCTCAACTGTAGAAGGAAAGAGGCAGCGGAATTTTCCAACCATGAGGGGACGGGGGTTGGGAGAGTGGGTATTGGCTCGGGACAGTTACACCTGGCACTACCAGGTTCGTAGGAGCCCCTGGGGTGGAGGGTGGAGTACTCAGCAGGTAGAGAGTTGGCCCAGCTCCTTCAAGGTGCCTTTGCCAGCTCCTTCCCTCAGTCCTTTCCTCATGAAACCCAGTTTTTGTACTGAGGCTTAAGGCACTCTTCTCTCTGCCTCTTCTGGGGGCCTCTGTTGACTCTTGTCTCATCCCTGGGTTCTGTCTACCCCTGAAGTGCTAAGTAGAGCTGGCGAAGTAGGTCCACTGACCACCGGAATGGGCAGCTAGGGAGAACTCAGAGGAGGTGAGGACCTGACAAAGTCCCTGCCTTAACAACCCGTCCTGTTTGCAGGAATGACACCAAGGAGGATGTCTTTGTTCACCAGGTAAGAGCTAGGTTAACTTTCCCAGGGCAAGAACCTCGCCTCTCTCTGAAGGTCTTTGCCATAATCCTTAGACCAGATCTTGTTTCTCCAGCCTTTTCCTTCACAACCAGGAAACCAGCCCCTCCCGGGTTGCCCCAGGTGCCTGTACTAACCAGCCCATTGACCCCACTTGTGTCGGATTGTCTCTAAGAAATGCCTGGGGTGTCTTCTGGGCTTGGCATGTTCACCATCTACTGAAACCTGTCGCAGCTCCAGAAATGAATCACAGGCACTGTTCGGAGGGCAGAGATAGGCTAGAGTGATTTGGGTGCAGTGGTTCTCAAAGTGTGGTCCCTGCACCAGCAGCAACACCTGATGTCCAAATTGCCAGGCCCTGCCCCAGGCTACTGAATCCATCAGGCTTGGGGGAGGGGTCCAGCAGTCTGCTCTAACAAGCTTTCCAGGTGATTCTGATGCTCACCACAATTTGAGAACCACTGCTTTGGTGGAAAGAACTCTCAGTAGGATTGAGGTAAGAAACGCAGTATGTCTTGCCCGCTTTTCAACTTAAGATTACCACTGCTTTTTGTTTTCCTTTCGAATTCGTGTTTCTTGCCTGCCTTTTAAGAATCCCTGAAGGGCAAAGGGAGGAAGGAATGTGGGGACACTAGCAACTGCACCATTGCTGCCCCTGAAGCCCCTAATTCACGGCTTTATCCTGCCACCCCCTCCCACCACTGCCACATTTTCCTACCTTCTCTCTGCTCCATCCTTCGGTCCTAGTCCACAAAATGTTGGAAAGAATGAATTGGGTGGTGGCCCATCAAGGGTGAGAGACTCTCATTTTGCTGTCCTCACCCTTCTGACCTTTCCCCTAACCAGACAGCTATTAAGAGAAACAACCCCAGGAAGTTTCTGCGCAGCGTTGGAGATGGGGAGACTGTGGAGTTTGATGTCGTGGAAGGAGAGAAGGTTTGGGGGCTGTGGAGGGACCTATAGTTGAGGAGACTACTGGGAGGGTGGACTGAAGGTTCTCTCAGGGTTTTGGCCCTCCTAAACCCAGCGTTTCTGCTGGCTGAGCAGCCCAAGCTGTCGGAAACGCTAGCTCACCCAGTCGTTGTCTTTAATACTCTGGCTGCTTCCAGCACCGTCCCACCATCCTAGAGTGTCACCGCCATGCAGTGACAGCTGGGTCTTTCTGTAGTTCACCAAGCACTTCCATGGCTGTCTTTCACATGGACCTTGTCCCCAAGGAAGAGTCTGTCCTCGAGGAAGCCAGACCTCTTTCTCCATCCCTTCCCCACCATCAGTCTTAAATTCAAGGGTCCTGAAGCAATTTCTCCAAGAGGACAAGATGCCAAAGTGGCCCCTTCTTGAAGGGCCAAAACACCACTGACCTCCTGGGGGAGGAGAGGAAGTAGGAGGTAGAGTCACAGAAGGGAAGCTGGCACGAGGGATGATCCCAGCCAGTTTGGGAGCGTGCATCTTCATGGGAAACCTCCTTACTACTTCCTTCCCACCTCCTCTCCAGGGTGCAGAAGCTGCTAATGTAACTGGGCCTGGGGGTGTGCCAGTGAAGGGCAGCCGCTATGCCCCCAACCGACGTAGGTTCCGCCGATTCATCCCCCGGCCTCGCCCAGCTGCCCCACCACCCATGGTGGCAGAGGCCCCCTCAGGCGGGACAGAGCCAGGCAGTGAAGGGGAGCGAGCTGAAGACTCCGGGCAGCGGCCCAGACGCCGGCGCCCACCACCCTTCTTCTACCGAAGGCGCTTTGTGCGAGGCCCTCGGCCCCCCAACCAGCAGCAACCTATAGAGGTGAGGGGAAAAGGAACGTGAGCACAGGTCCTGGGGAAGGAATGGGCGTTGGTAAGGAGTTCGCTGAGGAAGTGGAACTGAGGGCTGGGGAAAGCTGGCTGGACGCCGGGCTCCTGGGCAACTGATGTTCCCCTCCTTATCCGGGCCTTTGTTTGTTCTCAGGGTACTGATGGGGTTGAAACCAAAGAGACAGCTCCATTGGAGGGGGACCAACAGCAGGGAGACGAGCGGGTCCCCCCACCCAGATTCCGGCCCAGGTATCGAAGGTAAGACTCCCTCTCTTAGGATGCTGTCTTCCCCTCATCCTCCACTCTTGGTCCCCAGGAGGAGGAGAGAGGAGAGGACAGGGAGTAGGCGCATTCTAAGAAGATTCTGGAGCACAGTGGGGCTGGGTGGCTGAGGGTCCATTCTCAGGTGCCCAAGGAGCAGTCAGTCCTCCTGGGGCTGAGGAACAGAGGTGACCCCTGTTCCGGTAGAGTCGAAGGTGCTTTGTACCATGCTCCCTGTTTTATTCTGTTCTAGGCCTTTTCGTCCCAGGCCACCCCAGCAGCCTACCACAGAAGGTGGGGATGGTGAGACCAAACCCAGCCAAGGTCCAACTGATGGTTCCCGGCCTGAGCCCCAGCGCCCACGAAACCGCCCCTACTTCCAGCGGCGACGGCAGCAGCCCCCCGGGCCCAGGCAGCCCACAGCCCCAGAGGTGAGCTGAGATAGCTCCTGTGGGGAGGAGACCAGGACACTGGCACCAACTCCCCCGTCTCCTATCTGTCTAGCCACTTCCTCTCACTTCCTGGGTTTTCTCTCCTGCACTGCCCACACCCCAAAGAGCCAGTATAGCTGGACCACCCTGGTAGGCTCAGGAAGCCCCCACAGAGGTGATCAGACTGTCATCCTCTCCAGACACTCCTCTCGGCTCCGCCTGGGGCAATGCCACTAGTTGTGGACATAAATTGGGAGAACTGGTGTGGGGGAGGAACGGAGAGAGAAAAGGTGAGGCTAAGCTGAAGTTGGGGGTTTTAAAAAAATAAGAGGGTCTAATCTGACCACTCTTGTTCTCTCTAGACTTCAGCCCCCATCAACAGTGGGGACCCCCCCACCACCATACTGGAGTGATTCCAACTCAAAGGACACCCAGAGCCACCATCTGGTGAGGGGCTGCTCTGGGGTAGCCCAGGGTGGACTGCCGAGAGGGCCAAGATCAGGTCATGATGAGCTCTCCATGGTGATCTGTTGTCTCTCTCTCTCTCTCCCTCCCTCTCTCTCTCCCTCTCTCTCCTCACAGGTATCGGCCAGTTTTTCCAACTAACCTGTACCCTATCCAGGACTCCCTCCCCCCACGTTCCCACAATTCATGACATCAAAACACCGGCTTTCCCCCTTTTCCGTGAGACTCAGGAGAGCCAAAGCAATAACCGCCTTTTGCTTTTCCCCGCCTCTCCCTTACCAAGGGTTGAAGGAGGGATCCATCCTTGCTCAGAGGCACCAACTCCTGTCCCTAAACAGGCTGAGAAGGAAACAGCCAACTCTTCCCTCTTCCTGGCGGTTTTTCTTTCCCACCCCAGTTTATTTTTGTTTCCCCTCTCCCCCTACCTCTGAAGCCATTTTATGAACTGTCATGTGCCACCTGAGCCTCCAGTAAAAACAAAAACAGGCTTTCCTGCTGTCCTGGTCTCTGCCTTTTTCTGTTCGGAGAACTGCTGGCAACAGACTGGAGCTGGGGGCGGGGTGGTGGGGCGGCGTGGAGCGGGTTGTGCGCAGGCCTGTCCCAGGGTCTGGCCAGCAGCTCCAAAGCAGCATTCAGCTCTGTGAGCTTCACTCTCCAGGCTGTGGGGCAGGGAGCCTACCACCCTGGCAGGAATGTTTTGTAAAGTTCTGAGATTGTGGCTGGCACTAGCGCTCGCTGCAATTTATTAGCATTTACTAGTAAATGAAAGCTATAGCTAGATTGTAAGTGGGGGGTGATTGCCCATTTCACAGGATTCTTTGGATTCCAGCTGAGGTCAGGGGAGAAAGAGTTACAGTCCCTGTCTCAGCCCATCCTTGTGAGTGCCTTCACCACAGGACATTGGTCTCATACAGTGATTTTATAGACTTCTATACACATATATACACATTTAGTACAATGACCTCCAGTCTCTTCTTACCCCATCTTTTTTCAAACATATACAAAAAATATCTAAAGGCTACTCCCAGCCCGCTGTTTACAGGTGTCCTTCCCTGTTCCCCTTACGCTCCCTACAGGATGCAGAGGAAAAGAGCCCCCGCCCCGCCTCCTGTGCTGCCTTAGGGAGCACTTGGTGTAGGGCCCAAGGCCTGAAGTCCAGAGGTGGAGAGCCTGCTTTCCCTCCGTTCACCACCATCCTCTTGCCTAGCAGGTTCAGTGAGAGGACCGAGTCTGGAGTGAGCTTAGGTCTGGGGAGGAGGAGTGTCCTTTGCCCTGGAGGAGTCAAGACAAAACCCCCTTCACCCAGAGTCTCTGGAGCAAGATTTCAGACAAAGTGCCAGATAGTGGGAGGAGTTCACAGTGGGAAACTGGATTTTTCTCCAGTCCTGCTATCCTCTTCAGTCCAGCCCACTAAAGTCAGCCTTGGGGCTCCCCTCCTCCTAATCCCTCTTTGGCAGAGAGGGAGTGGGCTACGGAAGGAGGGGAAGAGAGGGGAGAATGGCCCACCCTGATGGTCACAACCTAACCACGACACATAAATAATCAGAGTCACACAGGGGAATGAGGGGGTGCTCAGACCACCCTTCCCTCCAGTTCCCAGTTCCACCAGGTGGCAGGGGCTTCTCCAGCCTGGAAGTAACGGGGACAAGAGGGTTAAAGTGCTGCAGAGGAAAGGAGGGGTTTCTAGGGAGGTAGAGAACAGGCTCTCCCACCTAGGCCAGCCCCTCAGTCATTCTCATCAGGCCCTAAGTAGTCAAGTTCTGTGCTGGGTTTCACCTCCTGCTCTAAAAGGGAGGGGGTCCGGCGGAAGGCAGCTGAGATCTGGTCAAACGTCCGGCCTCGGGTCTCAGGCACTTTTAAGAAGGTGAAGATGAAGAAGCCAAGCAGGAGAGCCGCAAACAGAAGGAAGACGTAGGGACCCATAGCATCCTGGGACAGTGGAGAAAGAGGTGTTGACAGAGGAGAAGGAAGGGGTGGCCTCAGACAAGCCAGAAACTAAGGTCTCTCACGGGGATCTGGGAACCTCGCAGACAGCAGCTAGCTCCTCTGCAGGGCAGTGGGAATGGCCAGCAGTGAGAGTCGATCAGAAAGAAGGATTCCCTGGACTTAGACTCTCCTTCAGCTCGTTCCTTCTTTCCCCACCCCAGGTTGCTGCCCTGTATAAATTCCCAGTCATGTATGGCACATGTTTATTGTATTCAAAGTCTAAAATTTTGCCACTGGGTTGTTTTGAGGACACCTCCACTTCCTATCCTCTAGACTTCAACTTCATTCTTGCTTTGGTTCTGGTACATAAGGGGATCTTTGATGCTCATGTCATCCCCAAAATGACCCCCACACCTACTAGTCTCTGGGCTGGGGTTTGTGCACTGCGAGTGGCAGCCTTTGGGGATACTAGAAAATGAGTGGGCGAGCTCCGAGTTGCTCTCCTCACAGGAGACTTACCGCAACATACTGGAAGCACATGCCGATGATGAAGTTGCAGGTCCAGTTGGAGAAACCAGCCAAAGCCATGGCTGCTGGGCGGGGTCCCTGGCTGAAAAGCTCAGCCACGATAAACCAGGGAATAGGGCCAGGGCCAATCTCAAAGAATGCCACAAAGCCAAAGATGGCCACAATGGAGACGTAACTCATAGCTGGAACCCGCTCCTAGGGCACGCAGGGAGAGTAAGGAAGTCAGTGCCATCTTCCTTTGCCCGAGCCCAAGAACTCCCCTCTGCTCCTTTCAGCAGCTCGTGGGTCTGCCACTTAGGTTAGAACAGCCCTGATCCTTTTTGAGCACTGACATTCAGCCATTAGTCCCAAGTAGATTCAGAACGGGGTGGAGACAGGGGGCAATGTTAGGTTCTTTGAGGGTCGAGTCCTGTCAAGCTCTAAAGCTGGGTCCTTCTGAGGCTTGACAGCGCTTTTTCTGCCTGGCTGCCAATGTTGAGCGAGAGCTTCCTCCCAGAGTGAGTTCCCATGTAGGCTGAGACCCTCCAGAACACAGACTAGGGTCCTCACATACCAGCTGGCCCTAGTTCTAAAGGCCTGTATGGACGAGTAGCTGGTTATCGTACAGAATACCAAGGGAGTTTTCCCGGGCTGGCTGGGACGCACGTCCCCGACCCTTTCCCTTCCCCAGCAGAAACCTCACCAGAAGAAGCAGAGCCACAGTCATCAAGATGGCACAGCCACACATTCCTGCCAGGCCTAGTAGGTGGAGTGTCCGGCGCCCTGCACGTTCCACCAAGAACACCTAGAGAGAGAATCAGAGTTGGGTGGGGCCCTTGAGGACACACAGCTAATCGAGGGGCCATTCCAGAGGCCATTAGTTACCGAGGCCAAAGTGAAGACGGTGTTGACCACACCAGCTCCTATGGTGGCATAGGCTGGCTGCCCAACGCCCGCTGACTCAAAGATGCTGGTTGAATAGTAGAAGACCTACAAGTGAAAAAGAAAAGGGGATGGCCGAAATGTTCCTTCTCTCACAGCTGCACCAAACTGGATAAATCTGAGTTTGTGTGGTTTTGGGGGGTATGTATGTGTGTGTGTGGGGGGCAGGTGGTATGGGGGAATCATCCCTGCCAGTGTTTGGGGGCTACTTCTGGTTCTGTGTTCAGAGATCGTTCCCAGTAGTACGTGGAGACCATGTTGCGCCGGGGATTAAACCCAGTCTCTGCTCAGCCTATTGAGTTCTCTCTGGCCTAAAAGACCTGGGGGGGGCATTTTCCCTTCTCCCTTCATCTCAAGCTCATCCCTACACTTGTCCTCTGCAGAGGTTGCTGGGCACAGCACACGTACCGCGTTAATGCCAGAGAGCTGCTGGCTGAGCTGCAGCACAATCGCAATGAGGAGGGGCTGCCGGTGGGTATGGCTGCCCAGAAGCTGGAGCAAGGACAGTGGCCGCTCTCTCTCTAACTTCCGCTTCTCTTCCTTAAGCTCGGCTAGTGCTCCAGACACGTCAGCCCAGCCTGTCAGGCGCTTCAAACCTGTGGGGAAGGAAGGTCAGGCCTGAGAGGGCTCGGAGAGGCCTGGGAGGAGAAATGTCTGGGGCTAGTGAGGTGGGGTGGGAGCACTTACTCTTTCTGGCAGGACCCTCCAGGTTCCGAATAATGTAGAGGTAGCGGGGACTTTCTGGGCAGAAGGGTAGCAGGACCAGCTGTAGGAGGGCAGGCAGTACGGTGATGCCCAGGAGTAATGGCCATAAGGTGGAAGTGCCCAGTAAGGACTCCAAGCCCAGCACCTGTGGGAGCAGAGTGGGACAGGCCATTGAGACTGTCCCCTAGAGTCCCACCATCCCCTTACCTGGCCCCCCCACAAGGTTAGGCCCAGTCACCTGGGCTATCAGAATGCCAATGACGATGGCCAATTGATTGAGTGTCCCCAAGGCACCTCGCAGGTGAGTGGGGGCGATCTCACCCACATACATGGGCACCAGCCCTGACGTCAGCCCTGGACAGAGGGAAGAAAAGAAGGCTCAAGGGATGCAGTGGGGTGGTAAAGAAGGCCAGGGCACTGGGCCAAGTCATGGTGCTGCTGGAGGGTACCTGAGTAGGCGCCAATGAGGAACCGTCCAAGGATAAGCATCTCATAGGAGGCAGCTGCATTGGCGAGGCCCATGAGGGCTCCCCCCAACACTGCTAGGATGTTGTTGACCAGCATCGCCCTCTTTCTGGTAGGCAAAAGAGAGGCTGTAAGAGTTGGTGCCCTGCTGTGGGGCTCCCTTCCTGTTCCCTCGTTCTGGCCCCCTCGTACCATACCTTCCCAGCCACTGAGAGATGATACCAATGAGGAAGGAGGAGATCATGCCGCCCACAGAAAAGATGGCCACGGAGAGAGCCCAGAGGGTGGTGAGGGTACCCGGGGGGATGGAGCCAGGCCCCTCAGGTCCCTGTCTCCCCAGCCATGTCTCATTGTAGCTTTGTTCAATCACCTGAGGGGACAACATAGGAGTGGTTCCTTGCAGGTCTTTTTCTCTCTGCACTCCCTGATCACCCCTGCCCTTTGGGGATGCCAGGGGCTGGGGAAGGGGGTGTGCTTAGGGAACTATGGGGTGCTGGACTTGGGGATTCAACCTGGACTTCTGCATACAAAGCATGCACCCAATCTGTTGAGCTGTCTCCCTGCGCTTCTTGCCCTTTGAGCACCCCAGCCTATAAGCTGTAGCCTCCTTACCTTTTGCGGGGCATTGATTACCCCAATGTTGTAACCGAACTGCAGGGAGCCAAGCACAGCAGAAAATACAGCAAGGACCAGGGTCCCGGTGACGCGCTGCTGAGGGGGTTCACCATCCTGAACAGGCAGGAGAGAAGAGGCTTAGCACAAGGAATCATTGTTTCTTTCCAGGGCCCAGTTTTATGATGCTGGTTTCCATCCAACATGTTGGGTCAGAAAAACTGGGCCATATTAGGAATTGCACGAAGCGCTTAATATAAACAAGAGTGGGGAGAATCCAACAGTAACCAGGGCATGGAGAAGAAACGGATATTTGCATCCAGCAGGCAGAGAAATGTTTGAGGATCTAGATCTCGGCAGTTCCTCTGTGACCTTGAAATAGGCTTGACATTAAGAGAGTTGAGTTTAGTTTTGTATGACCTTGGGCAAGTCACTTTCCCAAATCTGAACCTAGATTTCCTCCCCTGTGAAATAGCGGGAATGTTGCCTGCTTTTCCTGTCAGTGGAAATGTGAAAATCAAAACCCACTATTGACAGCCAATGATTTTGATTGACAAAATCAAACCAGCTCCGGAAGAGTTGGGTTTATAAACCAACAAGTACTTTATCAACTTCCGTTTTCTTTTGTTCCTTCGGAGGGGTCCCCTCATCCAGGCTCAAGAAGGGCAATTCCAAAAAGGACATGGAGGTCATTCTTCCCAGCCTTTGGCTCTTGAGGGGGCTGTTTCTGTCTCCGCCCTGGCCTCCCTTCCCCCTCTAAGCTCTGAAAAAGGCTGGGGGGCAGACTGCTTTAGCATGGGAAAGCCATGCCCAGGGGAGGGGGGGCGGGAAGGTGGTGTGAGGGGCGGTGGCAGTGGTGGCCACTTCTGGCGGCACAGACTGTCTCCAAGCAGGAAACCTGAGCTGAGGGGGGTGGGGGTGGGGTGACACTCCCTTCTACCCCTCCAACAGCCACGGGGCCAAGGGAAAGTTCAGCGGTCTGGAGGATGGCCAGGAGTGGGGGTGGGGGCCCCTATAGGGCCTCTGCTCCGAAAATCGGCCGAGTACCGGGTCAGGCAGGCAGCGCCTTGAGGCAAAGACCCGCCTGGAGCTGTTCCTTAAGGTCGGGTTGAAGGCAGGGTGTCCTGATCCTTCCCCACGCACCACGCAAGGGAAAGGCGAACCCTGGATTCTCAGAATACAGTTGTGTCTGTGCCCCCAAACGGTCTCCGAGGCAGCCTGGCTTCTTCTGGCGGGACTAGAATCCGACAGTCACGAGTTGGGCTGCCCAGGTATAAATAGCCAGCCCCCATCCCAACCGCCCCCCACGCCTACGCAGGGACCGCCCCTAGTTGACCCCAACAGCGACCCCAGCCCGAGCAAAGCGGGACCCATGCCCCCATCCAGCTCCTGCACGGTGAGCCTTACTTCTGAGCCGATCTGCTGGAAACCAGACGGCATCTTGCCTTAGCTTAGGAGCTCGGGGCACCGGAGCTGCGGCCGACGCAACGTGCCGGGACGGGTGATCGCAGCCTGCCGCCCGGGCCTTGAGGCAGAGGGCGCGGGGCCGACAGGGGTCCCGGGGCGGCGTGCGGAGGGCGGGCCTGGCGGGACCCGCAGCCGGAGGCCAGGGAGCCAGAGAGCTGCAGGGCTCCCGGGGATCTGGCAAAGCGTGGCTACAGGGAAAAGACCCGAAGGGCCCCCACAGAACCCCCGCCCCACGGGCCACGCCCTTCGCGGCACCCATTGGCCAGGAGCCCGCACACCCCGGTAGGCCACGCCCCTCCTGGCCCCGCGTTCGGCCCGCGGCGGGGTGCCGGGGTCGGCCCGCCACGCCACGCCCCTCCGCGTGCCGCCCGGACACGCCCCTCGGGCCTGGGCGGAGAGACCTGCTGCCCCTCCGCTCCTGGTGGGAAGGCGCGGGTCCCCGCCGGGTGGGGGGCGCGAGCAGAGGTGTCAAGGCCTAGCGCCGCCGGCTGGGTCTTTGGGTCCAGCGGACCCGGTGGTCAGGGGTGGAGGGAACGCGGGCGGCCTGACACGGCGTGGGAGCTGGTGCGCCGGTCGGGAGAGGAGCAATGGCCTGATGTAACCCAGAGCAGTTATTTTTAGTTCCCACGCTGGGAGAAGCCAAATGTCAGGTCCCGGGTGTCCCGGACAGGCCCGGACGGGGGAGGGGAGAAATAATGGGACTTTAAAGGACCCGCGACGCTTCCCGCGAACGGGTAACTAGATGGAGGGAATTCCGTTCTTTTGTGGTTCAGGCGTCTGGGCTGTGGGTTCTGCGCATCCTTGGCGCTGGACACTGCTAAACTCGGTCGTTTCCGCTTTGGTTGCTGGTTGAGGGACCGGTAGTCATAGGCATGCACACTACACCTCAAAGGACCCTGGGTCCCAAAACATGCGTGACTGTGTGAATGACTGGACTCGCTCTCCAGAGGTCCCTCGGGTTTGAGTCCCCACTGAATCCTGCGCAGGATCGCTTGGGCACCCTGCTTGGAAAATCGGCCACCGAAGCGCGAGACTGTAGTGCCACCTGGAGGGAGAGTGGGGATCCGCAACGGTCCGCCCGTGGTGGTCTCCGGCTCACCGACCCAAGCCATTCCACTTCTTCAAGGCGTCAGTTACCTACCACTCAGGAGCTCAAGAACCGGCTTTGGGGGCTTGAGCGATTAAGTACCTTGCCTTTCACGCGGCTGACCCGGGTTCGATCTCAGCACCACATATGGTTCCCCAAACCCACCAGGAGTGATCCCTAAGCCTGAGCATCGCCTACTGTGAACCAAAAGAAGAAAAAAGAACAGAGGGTTCATCTACCACAGGGACACAGGGATAGGGCAACTCACATGATCAAGTAGTCCAAGTCTCTGGTCAGGGAGATAGTTCAAAGTGTTGGAGCATGTACTTAGCATGCTGAAGTCCCGGCCTCTTTTGTTCCCAGAGCACTTAGCCATTAGGAGCCCTTGAGCACGCCAGGTGTGACCCAGAACCAATCCGTCAAACAAAACATATCCGAAACAGCCCCCCATGGCAGTGAATGGTCCCATCTGCTATCATCACTCTCAGAACCCTAGAAATACATCTGATTCTGCCCTTCTGCACCTATTCGTTACTTACCCAATTATTTGCCACTGTCATTGATTTTCTCCTTCTCTACTACTTCCTTTGGTCCAGACTTGTCTTCCTATTTCTCCTTTCCTTACATAGCATAATGCAAAATGGTTTATTCACACAGTGCCCGTGTCCAACAGTTTATTTGTTGTCATCACTGTTAAGCTCATGTCCCTTTTCAGAGTCAATATTACCTCCTACTTCTCCCACCTTTGCCTTAGCTTCTATCCTTTCCCTTAAGTTTTGGTCGATAACTACCCATTGTACCTTGAACACAGCATGTTCTTTCAGTCCATAGTGTCTTTGCCATAGTAGCCCTTTTTTCTGAAATACCAGAAGACTTCTGTTATCCCTCAGAATAAGCTAAGTCCCTCTGTGAAAATTTCCGTGGCCTTCCTACAGAATACCATGTGTAACCTGATGTGATATGTAGTTTCTCTTCTCTACTTCAACCTTGGGGCTGGAGCGATAGCACAGCAGTAGGGCGTTTGCCTCACAAGCAGCCGACATGGTCGACCCGAGTTCGATTCCTCTGCCCCTCTCGGAGAGCCCGGCAAGCTACTGAGAGTATCTCACCTGCATGGCAGAGCCTGCAAGCTACCCGTGACGTATTCGATATGACAAACACAGTAACAACAGGTCTCATGATGGAGACGTTACTGGGCCTGCTTGAACAAATCGATGAACAACGGGAGGACCGTGACCGTGACTTCAACCTTGAGGGAAGAAGGCCACCCTGTTTTCTTCTGACCCTGGTACTCAGCCTAGGGGTGGGCACTCAGTAAATTTATGTTGAGTGTATGAAATAGAGATCTGCTTTTAATGACCAAGAATACAGGTGGGGGCAGGGGACATAGCTCAGAAGGCTGGACCACATGCTATGTAGGGTGCTGGGGTTTAATCCCTGGTACCGCATGAACCCTGAACACTGTGTGATCTAAAATTAAAACGAAAGAGGGGCCAGAACCTTACATGTGACTGATCCAGTTTCGATCCCCAGCAGCCCATATGGTTTCCCAAGCCTGCCATCTGTGATCCTTAAGTGCAGAGCCAGGAGTAAACCCTGAGCATCACCAGGTATGGCCCACAAACAAAAACAAAGCAAAAACAATTGAGGTCTGAACGTTGAGGAGTACCAAATGTTTATAATCAGAGAGGAGCAGAAGCAATTGATGGAAGCAAAATAGCTCAGAAAGGTGAAAGTAGTGGTAGAGATGCAGAATACCACAAAAAGGAAAGCAAGTAGGAGAAAGGCACACACTGGAGGTAGGAAAAAGTCAGTGTAGAGACTGAAAGATTGTATGGGGGGGCTGGAGCGATAGCACAGCGGGTAGCGCGTTTGCCTTGCACGTAGCCAACATGGCCGACCCGGGTTCGATTCCCAGCATCCCATATGGTCCCCCCAGCACCTCCAGGAGTAATTCCTGAGTGCATGAGCCAGGAGTAACCCCTGAGCATTGCCAGGTGTGACCCAAAAAGAAAAAAAAAAGATTGTATAGGGGAGAGGGTGTTTCCTTGCATGTAGCCAAGAACAGTTCAATTCCCATTACCAATATGGTCATTTGAGTACCTCCAGGAGTAATACCTGAGCACAGAGCCAGGAGTAGCCCCTGAGCACTGTGGGATCTCCTCCCCAAATTTTAGTGTCAAGCAACACTAGAGTCTGTTCTGCCACTCAGGGCAAAGTATTTTCCTCCTCTTTTCTGATTCATTGTTTCTGATGGTTTCTAGGGACCTTTCTTAGAGTTGTGTTGCTGTTCCCCCCCCCACCCCCCGCAAAGGAAGGAAGGGTCAGGTTGAGCTGAACTTGGTGGTGCTCAGGGATTGATTATTCCTGGCTCTGAGCTCACGGGTCACCCCTGGAAGTGTTCGGAAGACCTTATGTGATGCTGGGAATCAAACAGAGCTCAATCACATTCCAGGCAAGTGCCTTAATCCCTGCACTGTTTTCCTGGCCCCTCCTTAGAGTTTAAAATTCAGGACATAGCTGAAGGGATATAGAACATACCTAACATGTGTAAAGCCCTGAGTTTAACTCTTCTCACAGAGTACCCCTACATCTCCCCCAGACCACCCGTCATACTCCCCCAACTACCGCCAGGCCAGACACTAATTATAGTCCAGGTGACTCTGAAGCACTGTTCTTGTCAGACTGATTTCTAATAGGGTGGCCTTGGCACCTATTTTTTTTTCTTTTTGGGTCACACCTGGCGATGCAAAGGGGTTCCTCCTGGCTCTGCACTCAGGAGTTACTCCTGGCGGTGCTCAGGGGATCAGATGGGATGCTGGGAATCGAACCCGGGTCGGCCGCGTGCAAGGCAAACGCCCTACCCGCTGTGCTATCTCTCCAGCCCCTATTTTCTTTTGTTTTGGGGCTGTGCTCAAGAATCACTCCTGGTGGTCTTGGAGGACCATATGGAATGCTGGGGATGGATCCTGGGTTGGCCGTTTGCAAGGCAAGTATCTTAACCACTGTACAATAATGTCATCCCCAAGGTGAGGCCTTTATTATAAAAACTAAACTCTCCCAGGGAGGGGACTCAGCATTAGAACACTTGCTTTGCAGCTGTGAGGCCCTTACTTCCATTTCTGGCAACACTTCAAAGATAAAAACAAAACGAAAAAACTAAACTCCAGGAACTGGAGTAAATAGCACAGTAATAATACACTTGCCTTGCACCCCGCTGACCTGGATTCAATTCCTGACACTCCATATGACTCCCAAATCCCCACCAGGTGTGATCCCTGAGTACAGATCCAGGAGTAAGCCCTGAGCACACTGGCTGACTGGCAGTGCCCCCATCCCTACCCCATCCCGCAAAACAAAAACCAAAAATTGAAAAACAACTAAACTCTAGGGAAAGCAGAATCAAGGTAAACAAGTTTGAGCCGATATAGAAGACAGGATTGGTTTGGCAAGCTCTTTCTCCTTTGCTTCTCTCTCTCTCTCTCTCTCTGTTCTCTCTCTCTCTCTCTCTCTCTCTCTCTCTCTCTCTCTCTCTCTCTCTCTCTCTCTCATCACACAAATTGGCCTTCAGGCTTCCTGGCTCAAGGCTGAAGAAACCCAGCTCCCGGAAGAGAACAGAGCAGTCTCCTGCCCCCGTGCCTGACTGTCCTCGCCGGGGCGCCTTGGAGGGGGGCGGGTTGAGTTTCCCTCCCTGTCCCGAGCAGAGCTCTGGCAGCCAAAGACCTACAGAACCAGCCACCACCATGCTGAGACCACTCTCCACATGCATGAAGGTACCAGCAGAGGAACAAAGGCATGCAGGTCCCGGGGCTGAGATCTCCAAGCCTGCTTGGATCCGGGCTGAGCATCCTTCACCCAGATCCTCCATCTTCCAGTAGGCAGGGGTCACACCCACCAACTGACCCCCCCTTCCCCCCGCCCCACGCCATGTAATCCCATCAACAGCCAAGACCCAGAGACTATAAAACCCAGTTCCCAGAAGCGTGCGGCCGCAAATGCGGCCACACAACATCTTATTATCTCATTCTTACTTTGGGTAAACCTGGCAGGCTACTGAATGTAACCTGCCCACGCGGCAGAGTCT